GGAGATGCTGAAGTTGGGCTACTGGCTGGGGCAACGGTAGTGGCAGGATTTGTGGGAACAGAGCCCACTGATGGTGTAATAGTTTCAGTGGCAGTGACAATGGGACCAGTAGATGCTGAAGTTGGGCTACTGACTAGGGCAACAGTAGTGGCAGGATTTGTGGAAACAGAACCCAATGATGGCGTGGTGGCTTCAGAGGTGGTAGGCTCAGAGGAGGATTCAGTGGCAACTGATACAGAGTTAACTGGGGTAGCTGCCATAGCGTTGGAAGTGGAAGAAAGCGTAGGGACAGGAGTCGGAAGAAGCACAGCAGGCATAAGGTGCTGGGACAAAGACCCCTCTGCTGTGTTAAGTGTGGTGGTAAACAATTCAGGAAAGCTTTGCTCGGCTATCACGGCATCAAGGCTGGTGAGAAGCTCAAGCAAGGATTCTGAATCGGTTGTGACAGGAGTGGAAGAGGTGGGCAGTTCAAGCAAAGGCCTTGTGGAAGTAATATCAGAAATAATACTGGGAAGTTTAGGAACAGTTCCAGTGGTAGCCTCGGGATTGGTTAGGATGATTTCTGTTGCTGTTGTGGGAGTGTTTGATCCAGAGATGAGAGGTGGAGGAGATGTCATGGTAGGGACAGTGGTAGGGAAGTGGTTGGTAAGTGGCATCTCTTGTAGAGTAGATGATGACTCAATATTTTCAAGTTCTTGATTGGTGTTTTGCGATGTTTCACTGATCTCATCTGGACACTGAATCCGCTACACAGGGGAAATAATGCAAAGCAGAAGTCACACCTTTGGGTTGTTATGATTTTTCTAAGCTATCATTGCTCTCATTTTCTTCTGCATGAGAGAAGACTGTGCTGTGACATCTCTAGAGGGTTTCTAAAGTGCTTTGTCCAGAAATGTCAGGTACTTCTGATTGTGCTATTTCTTCACTCCCAGGCGGTCAAGCCTTTCCCATCCTCCACTCATGAGGCAAACTATTCAAACTGATTCAGGTCCCCACCTGTTTCCTATAACAACTAAAAGGCAGGAACTCTCACAAGGTACCCTTTATGTCATATGAGGATCCAGTGATGGAGAATGACAGAACTACACAGCTTTTCAAAATGGAAGACTTCTTCCCAAGAATAAAATGGGGAGCCTCGAAGAGTCCCCAAGGGGATGACCAAGACAGGTTGAGGCTTGCAGTCCTTTCTATTGATCTTTTTTTCTTTAATATTTTGTACAAAACGTTTTTCTGCTTTTTGGAACCAAATTAGGCACGGTAATAATCTCATTAGTCATTATGCAATATAATATTTGAAAGAAGACAGTAATGTGTCTCAAGAGGAAAACTTCTATTAGTGCCAATAAAAGCTTTTCTTCCAATGCAAACTGCAAATGCAGGACAACTGGTCGATGTGCATGTGCGGGTACACACACACACACACGTAAGATCATAACAACAGATTAAGGAAAGCTACTACTAATTTTTCTGAAACCGATGCCAAAGTGAATGCCATAAACAGTTTCACCTCTAGCATTCCCCTTAATGGCATGTCAAGGCTTATCCTCAGATTGCTATCTTGCTTCACTTAACGATACGGCTGATCTGATCCTTTGCTTGTCTGTCCTTCCCTTATTTCTTCCCTTCTCTCTCAGACAAAAATACCGCACAGATTTCCCTAAACCCTTGTCATTCATAAAGCTGCTTTGCCCTTGGTAATAAATGGGGACTTGGATTCGTTCCCCATGAGCAGAAAGTGATGCTTATGCATAGCATGGAGAGAATCACCTTGGAAGCCAGTGATGCGGAAACTGTCATCTCCTCCTGACTGCAAATGTGAGGATGCCGGGTGGAAACACTGCCGTACAGCCTATATTCTGTAGGCATTAAGTTATAAGCTTGGTTTCTGACATTTTTCAAGAGGACCTTAGAGAACAAGTGTCAAACTTGCCGCGTCACATTGCTGTAACATGACATATTCCCTTTGTGGAGCTGGGGTGAACGTGGCCTGTGTGTGACACATCTGGCCCGCGGGCCGCCAGTTTGACACCCCTAATAGAGACAGCTTCTCCACATTGGTGATTCCAAGGAGGAGAGAGTACAATGGCCAGTGATGATGCTGGTCCAGAATTCTGAAACATAAGGACCCCTACTCATGTAAAGGTAAAGGAGCCCCTGCAGATTTTACTCCGCTAGTTGTAACCCACTATATAGGCGGTGGTATTCATCTCTGTTTCAAGGTCGCTGAGCCAGTGCTGTCCGAAGACATTTCCTCGGTCATGTGACCAGCATGACATCACGGAGCATGGTTATCTTCCCACTGAAGTGGTATCTATTTATCTACTTGCATTTGCAGGCTCTCGAACTGCTAGGTTGGCAAGAGCTGGGACCAGGATAGGAGCTCACCCCATCACATAGTGCTCAGGTCTCAAATGTGGGCTGCCCAGCATTTTAACCACTGAGCCACCGTGCTGCCCTCCCTACTCATGTGGAGGGTGGACTAGGTACCCTCCCAAATATATGGTTTTTGACTACAGAAAGGTCAGTGCTGAGAATTCTGGGAAGTGGAGTCCATGTATCCAGAGTGACTGTAATAGTATGTGGGAATGATCTTGGGAGAAAGAAAAAGAGCCATAGGAGGGGATCCGTTGGGTAAAAGACAAGTAGTCCTCAACAAGAATAGAGGAGGATCCTTTCCTAGTTTCTTGCGCTGTAAAGATGATGTGGGAGAAATGCACATTCAGACTCTCAAAATTCTTCTAATGTAACCTTACACTAAAGTAGAAACAGTTTATTTAGGTGTGCTTGTCTGGACTACCTCACAACGCTGAAAATGATCCAAATAACATTGAATCAGAGTAAACAGATATGAGTGAAACAATGTTCTATATTCCTGTTATAATATTACTGTATTTTTAGGAGTATAAGACGCACCTTTTCCATCCCCAAAAGTGGGTAGAAATGTCTGTGTGTCTCATACATTGAATGTTGCCGAAGCCCCACCCACCCACTGGCCCCCACCCTTTGGCCTCTGCTTCCCAGCAATTTGCCTCCTGGCAGCAAACAGCAAACAACCTGTTTCAGCTTCAGCACAGCCTGATAAGCACAAGCAGCTGAAAGGATCCAACCGACGGATTGCCATTGCCCATTGCCGCCGCTGCATGCCTCATTTTCGGCCTCTGCATCCCATTTTTGGCCTCTGTGCACCCCATTTCGGCCTCTACATGCCCCATTTTCTTCCCGTTCCGATCCCTGCTGCCTGAAACAGGCTGAAAATGGGGCATGCGGAGGTGGCAATAGGCAATGGCAATCCCTACAGATTGAAACAGCTGATCGTTGGGAGGCCAATCCAACCGACAGTCAGCTGCTTGTGCTGGATACAGATGGCTGAGGTCTCAATTTAAACAACTCTACTACTCACCTACATAGCTAGCCTGATCCTCTTGGAAGCAAAGTAAATACAGTGCAGTGAAAATCACATTTACTCAATGAGCAAATATTCTCAATGAGACCTAGCTGCTTTCATTCTCTTTTCTATTGCTATTCCTGTACTTATGACTGTCTTTTGTCTTCAGTGAACCTTTCAGCCCTTTCTCTTTCTAACACTAAAAGTGCTGTCCAAACAGATTGCTGGGAAAGAAATGCCTCAGATCAATAAGCAATGTCTTCTTCCTTTTCCTTACCTTCACAAAATACTTCTTCAAGGTGCAGCGATAAAAAGTGAGGGTGCAGAAATCAGGAAAGCTGGGCATTTCTGCCAAGTCGGAACAAACCCTCCCTAGGAGAGAAGTGGAGGGTTAGAGAAAAATCACCAAGGCCTTCGGGTTACTTCCATTCATTTTCATTGAGATCCAGTGTATCCCATATTGCTATCATCACTGTTGTGCCATTATAACCTCTGCCAGCTTTCGAGAATTCAAATGAGTGGGCTTTGGTCTCCCTCCAAATGGGTTACCAAACATTGCAGCAATTCTTTGAAGTCCTGTCAGGTCGGAACTTTTAACATCTGCCACTGGCTACTTCGAACTGTGAAAAAATGTGTTGGAGGGGCACTTATTCAGATATTTTGGAAAGAAGCCATTGGAAAATTTTTGGCAATTTATAACATTTGATTTTTTTTTTTTTTTTTTAGAAACACAGCTGAGGAACACATTTTTTTTTTCCAAATCAGCTTGATCCCTTAGGGTTCTCTTTACTTTTGTTTAGGTGAGGCCTAATCATAACCTATATTCAGAGGTGGGCTTCAAAAATTTTAGCAAAGGGTTCTCTGCCTGGTTGCTGGGTGAGCGTGGCCATGGTGGGTGTGGCCTAGTTGGCCTCCTGTACCACGGCGGGGGGGGGCATTTTTACCCTCCCTGGACTCTGGCGGCTTCCCTGGAGCCTCTGGGAGGGTGAAAATGGCCTCCCAGGGCTGCGGAGGCTCTCTGGAAGCCAGAAACGGGCCCATTTCTGGTCTTCATGAACTTCCATGGGGCCTGTTTTTTGCCCTCCCCAAGCCTCCACACGCGCCCTACACTTACCTGCATCCAAAACTGGCCATGTGGGGACTCCTGGGAGAGGTGGAGTTGGCGGGGCCAGCCAGGAGTGGAATTTGGGGGTTCTCTGAACTGCACAGAGTCTTAGCTAGGGGCTCTCTCGAACCCCTGCGAACCCGCAACAGCCCACCTCTGCCTATATTTTATTTAATTAGAATTTTAATAAACATACAATAATTAATACAGTTATGAATGAGGGTGTTTACTCTTAACAATCTTGTACTTTCCTGTTCTGACACTTTATATTTCTTGGAAATTATATGTATGAGGCTTGGGAGCCCCAAATCCTAGAATTTCAGAGGGCAGCACACCCTGGTGGTATTTTCATGGAGTCCACCACACTGTTCTATAACAGTTTTATCTTGATCCCAGTAAAGTTCAGATTTTGGACAGGGAAGATCAATGGTTTGAGGGAGGAGTGAAAGAATCCATTTATGCCAAAATGAGAAATCCTTCTCTTAATACAGGTAAGTCTTCAATTTACAACAATTCATTTCGTGACTGTTTGAAGTTACAACAACATTGAAAAAAATAACTTATGACCATTTTTCGTGCTTATAACTGTTGTAGCATCCCCATGGGTCATATGATCAAAATTCAGATGCTTGGCAACTGACTCATATTTATGACGGTTGCAGTGTCCTCTCTGTCCCGTGTTGTCCACATGTCACCCATCCATCCATCCATCCATCCCTATCTATCTATCTATCTATCTATCTATCTATCTATCTATCTATCTATCTATCTATCT